TTATGCCACCATCAGCTTTTATCTCCTTCACAATACGGTTCTTCAAGTAGAACTTTGCATCGGCGAAGTGTGACTCAGCCTCGGTGAATGGCTCATCATCAACAACTATTTTCTTCTCGACTTCACCCTCATAGTATTTCAAACATTGATGGTAGGTAGATGGAATCACTTTGTTCTCATGTATCCAAGGCCTTCCAAGCAAGATGTTGTATGAAGTCTTTGCATCAATCACATGTAGCCATGCACTTGATTGCATATTTTCAATGGTGATTTCCAGCCTGATCGTGCCTATGGCTCTTTGCCCCCCTTGGTTGAATCCTTGGATCATCACACGACTTTCTGAGAGTTCGTTCATGGGAATACCGAGTTCTTTCACAGTGCGAATTGGCAAAATGTTCACTGAGGATCCTCCATCAACCAAAATTCGATTTACCTTTTCATCACACATATAGCCAATCAGGTACAATGGGCGGTTATGAATAGTGTCACCTAGTAGAAAATCGTCATTTGTGAACGTGACTTTTTCCTCACAAGCATTAACTTCTTGAGGAGTGGACTCGATGAGCTTTTCCAAAGATGGTGCCAACGGCAGGACATCACTCTTTTCTTCCCCTTTATCAGCGTTGCAACAAGAGGCCTCAATACCCTCACGGGAAATCTTCGTGCGGAACCAACTTGGTAAGAACTCCTCCAAGGTTACTGGATGTCGTGGCTTTTGAGGATGGTGCACCTCCACTTTTTGCTTTCTTCAAATATTTAACTGGATTTCGTCTCCTTGGTCTTTCACCATCATTTTCTTTGTTGGTTGTTCTATTGATTCTTTTCGTGGGCTCCTTTTGTGGTGCCTACGACGAGTCACCAATGTCCAACCTTCATTATCATCAGGTTGATTGACTTCAGCTTTGTCGCTCTCCAGCAATTCTTCATCTTTACTTTCTTTAAAATCACATAATTCATCCAGACTGAATGAGCCAAAGGTGATGGAGACTTGGTTTGCGCTTGCTTTCTCACCTTCAAACACGATCTTCTTTTCGCGAGCCAAGTCCATGACTTTGTCCTTAAAGGCAAAACACTTCTCTAGAGGGTGGCTTACAAGTCGGTGATATTTGCAGTAATTTGGGTCATTTGTTTTCCCAGCTTCATTTGGTCGCTTCATCTCCAGAAGCTCAATGAGATTTAACTCGAGGAGTTCTTTGAAAATGGCTGGCACATCAGAATCCAGGAATGGGTACTCTTTCTCCTACATTTCTTTAAGAGTCAACTTTCCACTTGGCTTATCTTGAAAAGAAGTGAATTTCATACTCTGCTTCTTGCTCACCTTCATCGTGAACTTCACAGGTGACGTGTTGACATTCATAGCTTCTTTGCTTTCAGACTTGGGTACGAACTTGTCCCATTTACTGACTTCTTGCTTGTCATTAACTTTGCGAGGTTCATAGATGGGCGGTCTTTCATTTCCAGCGGAGGCCATGCTCAATTCCATGTCATGGGCATGAGTTGCAAGTTCTTCAAATGTGTTAGGCTTGATATCTTGCAAGATGTAGCGCAATCCCCAATGCATGCCTTGGATGCACATCTCTATGCATGAAGCTTCACTAAGACTGTCTTTGCAGCTGAGGCTTGCATTCCTCCAACGATTGATAAAGTCGATAACTGGTTCCCCCTTTCGTTGACGAGTATTTGTAAGTTCTATCATACTCACAGTACGTCTCATACTATAAAAATGATTGAGGAACTCTTGCTCTAGTTGATCCCAACTATCGATAGATCCAACCTCGAGGTCCGTGTACTAGTCAAAAGCATTTCCTTTTAACGAGCGGACAAACTGCTTGATGAGGTAATCTCCATAAGTCCCCAGCAATGTTGCACGTCTCCATGAAGTGCGCAACATGTTGCTTGGGGTTACCTTTATCATCAAACTGTTGAAACTTTGGAGGTTGATAGCCAACAAACATCTTCAACATATCGACCCTTGCAGTGTACGACTTTGCATATGTAAGGGAGGTTTTGGCAGCAATTTCATATTTGTTCTTGATAATTCCTTCAATGAACTCCTTCAGTTGATTGATTGGAATCATTCCTTCAGATGAGACAGGGATAGCCTTAGTGGATGCTGCTTGTCTTGGGGGAGAGTCACTCTCTAGAACTTCTGGGAGCTTGCCGGGTGCATGGGTNGAACTCCTTCAGTTGATTGATTGGAATCATTCCTTCAGATGAGACAGGGATAGCCTTAGTGGATGCTGCTTGTCTTGGGGGAGAGTCACTCTCTAGAACTTCTAGGAGCTTGCCGGGTGCATGGGTGGATTCTTCTTCCATCAAGATTCCCACCCTGTCTGTTAGCTTGCCGATTCTAGCCTCTTGATTTTGCATGTATTTGGTCAAGCTAGCGATTGCTTCTGTCAAGTTTGCCAACTGCTCCTTCATAGATGAAGTATTTTCCACCATGGCTTGCATGATTGTCGTGGACGACGGAGAGTAGCATAAATTTTCACACAGATTGATCCTTGATCGGCTTACGCTATGTGGTGTAAGTGGGGAGGATCCATCACTTGAAAAATCATCATCTTCCTTCACAGCAGAGTGCTTGGATCCGGAGAGGTTAAGCAGAGCAAGAGTTTTCTTGATCTTTTCAGCAACATCGCTTCCTCCTTCAGATACGTTTGTGGAAGATCTTGCTCCTTTTGAGGATGACGATCCAAAAATAGGGATTGACGCGGACGACACTTAGGGTGCTTGTTGTCCTAAAGAGCTTGCTTTGCTCCTTGTAACTGGTCCGAATCTTCCAAAGGTAACATCGAGGATGCTTTCCACATCAACATAGAACCTGGAGTTAGCAGCCTTGGTGGAAGTTGAACGGAGTTGATTTTCTTTGAAGCCATATTAGCGTTCTTGGTTTTTGATTGTTGGAGAGAAGAGATGAGAGGCAAAGATAGTCCCACTGGGCGTGCCAAAATTTGTAACAACTAAAATTTCGTTCCTGAAAATGATAATCAAGACAAGAAATATAGCGACAAAAAAAATATTTGTATTTCAATAATTTACGCGGGTTACAATCTTTGAACAATCTTAAGTTTAAAAGATGTAATCCTCTGATTCTTCTCCTCACGACCATCAATTCGAGAGCTTCGCTTGTTCTTGAATTGATGGACCACTTGTTGTTGGGATTTGACCACGAATGCGGAGCTAGGCTTTGATCACAAACGTAGAGGATGGAAAACTTGCGGCTCACCCCTTGGAGACGATGACTTCTTGTTATGCGGAAGACTTGCGAATCACCATTGTGGAGGAGAGCTTCAATATGTATCTTTTTTTCTTATCCCTTTAGCCTTATGGAGACCCCCTATTTATAGTTGGAGGGGAGGGAACTTGTGATAAACACATATCTTTTTTCCTCCAATTTGATTGGCCAACTTGAGTCATCAAACCTATCACTAAAGCTATGTGATAAGCTTGCACATAATTGGTTGAACCATGTCATTTGAATATTTGGCGACATTTGATTGGTCCTTATATTTGACTTGGCATGCTACATCACTTATTCGCGTGGCATGATTTTAGTGGCCTTTGATTTGACTTGGCGTGCCATGTCATTTGACACGTGGCATAAATTTTGGGCTTATCATTTGAAGTCCAACAAGATGAACTAGCCCAATTAACTCAGGCTCTTAATTAAATCCATATACACATATTGGATTTAAATATTAAATTCAATTATTCTAGCCCGTAATCATTGTTTGGGCTGACATGTCTTTGAGTTTATCATGTGGTCCAAATAATTTAATGGACTTAAACTCAAATAAAATTCAAACTTTTACAGATACATGTTGGCTTTTTTTCGCGAATATATTCTGGATATATTTAGTTGGTGTATTAAATCTGAAATTACAATACGACTATTATATTAATTCATGATCTCTGAATACAGATGAATAAAATCTGAATACATAGTTGGTATATGATCTCTGAATATTAAATATATGTATTCGAATACATCTGAATACAGATAAATACAATCTGTTATATACATACGATATGATTGTATTGTAAAAAGATGTAACATTTCATTCATTAGAACTGATTCTTTTTTCTGAATACATATAAATACAAAACGACTTTTATATCAGAGATTATATATGATCTCTTAATATTAAATACATGTATTCAAATACTCCTGAATACATATTAATATAATCTGTTATACACATATGAAGGTCTAAATATGTATTCAGGAGTATTTGAATACATGTATTTAATAATAGATCGTGGTTGAAAACAGGGAAAATTGACTGAAATTCAGTTTGACCGCCATAGATGAGTTCCATAGTTGAGAATTCAAAATCTAATTCCTCGCTGTTATCTCCGTCGAAGCAATCGCTAGCGTTCTCCTCCGTTGCCTCTTGAAATTCATCGGAGATTTTAGCGGCAATTTCAGCCAAGTATCCGAAGCTACTAAAGCTAGGGCACAAATAATTATCGTCTATGGCTTCCTGCATGATTTTGTTCTGCATGATTAAGTAGAGCTGTGTAGGTTTGTTTTTTATGTGTAGGTTTTTTATGTTGTGCTGTTCTGTATAAGGAAAGAGAATTGTTTGTTCTGTGCTGGGCTGGGCTGGGCTGGGATCGGAGAGAACGTAGGTGATGTGGGTGAGAGGAATGAGGGAAGAGAATGACATGTATCTAAGTAGAGAGAGAAAGAAAATATTGTAACTGAATAACGTATTTAGTGACTTAGGGTTAGGAGGTAACTAAAATTAGATATTTTGTTATAAACATTAAAAAGTATCTATAGAATATAATTTTTTAAAATGGTATTTATTTAAAATAAATAAGGTGTTAACCTTTGGTATAGGATGTAAAAATTTCAATTTTGAATGCTAGAGCCTATGTTTGAAATTTATTTGAGAGCCTACATTTGAAATTTGATTCCGAGTCAACTAAATTTTATAAATGTCGGCTATATCTTAAAAAGAGTTTCTGAAAGCGGCTATTTGTGCAATTTGCCCCAGTTCATACTAAAGAGAAATAGAAATTGAAGTACCTCTGCCCCTCTTTCTCGTAGCAGCTAGAGAGTATCCAAATTCTCTAATCTGACAGGCAGAAGAGGAGAGAAAAAATGGGAGGGGGAATGGAGTACAACAAGAACAAGTGGATCGAAGAATGGGGAGCCGCGAGGGAGAACCTGGAGCACAACTTCCGCTGGTCTCGACGTAACCTGGCGATTGTAGGTATCTTCGGCATCGCCGTCCCCGTCTTGATTTACAAAGGAATCGTCAAAGAGTTTGTAAGTCCCTCCGATTTTACATTTTATCTCTTCTCCTAATCAACTTTGCTTCTATTCATTTCTGTGCATTTATTGTGGTGCGTGTGCAGTGGATCTGCCTTTTAGCCCTAATCGTTGAGCATACATAGCATTTGCATTAATAACTTAAGCAGATTTACTAGAAATCCGGGTACTAGTCCTTGGAAGGCAATTGGTCGAGTTCTTAGTTTCTTAAGATAATTAAAGATTTGAGTCGTCCTGCTATTTTAGAAGGATATATCAACGCAAGTTGGATATCAAGTTTGTGATACAACATACACACCACATGTTTAGTTTACCTTAGGAGGTGGTGCAATCGTCTGGGAAATCCAAGAAATAAGCTTGCGCAGCACATCAACAATGGAGTTGGAATTTGTTACGCTAGCAGAAGCAGGCGAAGAAGTCAGAGTGATTTAGGAATTTTCGTTTTGAAATTCCATGGAATTTCAAAAAGTGAGAGCTCAGTTTCAATTCACTGTGACAGTGAAGCCACTCTAACATGAGCATGTAGCAATATATATAATGGGAAGTCAAGAGACATAAGTTTTCGACATGATTAGATAAATTTAATTAAAAATGGAATTATCTCTTTCATACTTGTGAAGTCAAAAAGTAATTTGGCCGGTCCATTTATGATTTACCAAATCTCTTGCAGGAAAATTTTAATGAAATTACTTCAAGTTTGATTTAGTTAAAACTCCTTTATTAAGTCCCCCAATAATGGCAACCCTACCCGACACTTGTGAATGAGTAGTTTTGGGTTCAAAGGGCAATAACAAGCTGTTGATAAGTGGACTTTTAACTACTTAAGAAGAAACATACTAATACTGGCTGTCACAAATAAGAGAGTTTAGTTTTAATGCTCTTAACTCAAATGTGACAAAAACACTGACAGGACTTCACCTATTTGAACAATTGTCCCCCAAATACTGCTTTTAGGAAATCATTATTTATTGTATTTCAAACCTTCGTTTTTTTGGTGTTCTTTATACATATTTTTCTAACAACAGGTATGGTCAACCCAAATTTCCTTCTCTTTCTTGACCTGTCTACCTCACTAATCATTCTCTTAAATTGATGTGCATAACCACCGCTACCACCTATGATTCAATGTGTTGCTTAGGCATTGTGTTATGAATGAAAATTGGCCATGAGGCCACGGTGAAGGAGACGTTTGGAAAGTTAACAAATTATGTGTGTAATCTGAGGTAGGAGCATGTGAGGCATGAATTGGGTAAAGGGAAATAAATAAATAATTAGCAATAGAATAGAAAAAAAGAGTTAGGGCATTACGAGCTCCTATCCCGAGCGCCATACATAAATCGTTAACTCCTGAAATGTGCCTTCCGTCGTGGCCTTAAGGCCAATTTCATTCATAACACACTGGTAATGAAGAC